TCATTAGGGAGGTCTCCAGCCGCTGCTTAATGAGCCGGTAATTAAGCAGCCAGGGAGGGGAGCTGGCCTCGGGCCAGACTTGGGTGGGGGGAGAGGGGCGGCCTCCGGCCTCACCTTCCCACCCTCCACAGCCCCCCCACCCCACCCCAGACAGCAGCCTCCAGTCCAGAGGGGAATGGCATTTATTCACACCACCAAAACATCGGCCTGAGGGCAGGGGGGCTGGCCCGAGTCCATCCACAGCCCCCGGGCCCCTCACAGTCCTGGGGGCGGAGGGGTGCCAGCGTGGGCGTCAGCGGGCAGGCTTCGTCTCCATTCGGGCCCGCCCCCCTTGACCTTCCTTTCTTTTAACCGGGAAGGAGGGCGGGCTGTCTCCCTTCACAGCCTCGGGTGTTTTACCTATTCTTGCAAACCAACCTAGAGGCTGGACACCCAAAGGAGACTCCCAGCCACCCGGTGACGGTGAGATCCAAGGGCTGGCGTCCGTCCCTCGGTGGCCGGGATCCTGTCTGCCTCAGGACCACCCTGCCTGGCCTTTCCCTCCCCGTCCCCAGGTTTGAGGACCTCCACCTCCTCTTTCCCTGGGGGCTGGGCACAGGGGGGCAGGTACGAATAGTGAGATTTCGGCCGGGCTTCCCAGGCTCTGGTGGAAGGCAGGCAGTGGGCCTCTCAGCTTTGCACCCGGGGATGGGGAAGCTCAAGTCTCAGCAAGTGTGCGCGGGAGGCCTGGACCTTTGCTCCTCCATTCTCCCCCCTCCCTGCACCCTCAGCAACAACTCCAGGAGCTCCTGTCCTCCCGGGGGCAGGGGAGGCTCGGACCGCTGCGCTTCCATCCGCTGGCACTGCAGGGAGGGAAAGGTGCTGGTGAGGTCCTGAAGACCGCTGACAAGGGCCGGGTCAGAGTGGGCCACAGGACACCGGCAGTGGCTGGCCCTGGCCCATGGTGGACAGGCGATGGGGGTGGTCTTCTCACCTGGTGGCTGAGGATGGTGCTGTAGAGCTGCTCTCTGTCCTCAAGGGGCCGGGGCGGTTGGGCTGACCTTTGGTTTGGGGGGCTCTGGGGGACACAGAAACTGGCCCTCTGCTCCTCCAGGCGGCGGGACTGTGCGTCTGCCACCAGGTCCAGAAGGAGTTCCGTCTGCAGGGAGAGCAGGGAGGCCGCGCAGGGCTCCAGGGCTGCTGGGGAGAGGAGGGGGCGGGCTCAGGGGTGGCATACAGGGTAGGGGTTAACAGGGTGAGGTGGTTAGGGA